GAGCCACAGAGTGGCTCTGGTTCTAGGGCAGTGGCCAAGGAGAGACATAGGTGAAAGGTACTCTAAAATGTGTGGGAGACTGAGGGCACTCGTGACCTCAATGTTCATGTCTCCCCCCCCGCCCCCATATCCACGTCCGCCTGTGGACACAGCCCCTCTCACTGACTCTGAAATCTTTTCTTTTTAAAGTAATGCTGGAGATTGAACCTAGAGCCCTGCGCATTTGAGGCAAGCACTCTGCTGCTGAGTTCTATCCCCGGCCCCCTCCTGCTGGGTCTGGGTCTTCCCCCGGGACTTATGGGCAAGGGCAAACTTGACCCAAGAGGTTTTAAAGCAAGCTCTTCTGTTTTGCCTTCCCCATGAGGAGATGCCCTGGCTGGCCTGCTGGAGGGACCGGGTCACACCGAGTCAGCTCAGACAAGCAATGAGGCCTGACATGGGGAAGAGGCCAGCCAAGATCTGCAGCACCAGCTAACGAACCCGCAGCCAAAGGCAGAGGCATGTAAAATGAATCTGAGATAAGGACAGGCCACCCACAGCCCTCCACTACATGCTGTATCTTGAGCCACTGGGCTTGGTGATCTCTATGCATTTTCGTGGCAGTGGCTAAGTGGTTCAGGAAGGGGTGCAGAGCTGATGTCGTCGGGGATTTCATAGGGGAGTAGACTTCTCTAGAAAAAGCTCTCGCTATGCATCTTCAATGTCAACTTGGCAGGATTTGGACTCTCATAGGAGACACACATTTGGGTGTTTCTGGGAGGGTATAGCTGAGGTGGGAAGACCCACCCTGAAGGTGGAGAGCACCATCCCATGGGCTGGGAGTCTGGACTGAATAAAAAGCGGGAAAGGAGAAAGCGAGCTGAGCACCAGCATCCATCTCTCCCTGCTTCCGGACTGTGGATGTCATGTGACCAGCCGTCTCCTACTCCTGACACCATGCCTCCTCGACCTCAACGGACTGTTCCCTCAAACCATGAGGAAAACAAACACACAAACAAACAACCTAAACCTTTCCTTCCTGAAGTTGCTTCTGAGTCAGGCATGTTGTTACAGCAACAAGAAAAGTAACCAACTAACTAGAGCCCTCCTCTCACCCTTATTAATATGCATTCATCTGGTCCAGTTAACATTGTAATCAGAATTCAGAATGCCCCGCCCCCTTCCCAGGTTCCCATGGGAACACTGACATCTCTTTGAATGACAGCACTCTAACTTTTATGTCCGCCTGACTACGGGCAGAGAAAGGTCAAGTACGGTTCCCTGTCCCCTTCTGCTTAACAGCCTCTAACCCCAGCTAAGGCTCACCACCCTCTAAACCTGGCCAAGGCTCGCCACCTGTGTGAGCCTCAGTTTCCTCATCCATCAAGTGGGGCCACAGCCTCATCTCTTCAGGTTGCTGTGAAGGCCACTTGGCTTGTAAGGCCTGGCCCAGATATGGTGACCTGAAGGTGGTCTTGCCATTAATTGAACAGCCCCATGCCCATGGAACACCTACCTTCCTTCCTCTGAGGAACTATTCTGGGAAGCTGGGAAACGTTCAGCCAACCGTGAGGTGGGACCTGAGAGGAATATTCATCACAAGTGGCTTGGCTCATCTCTCCAGCCTCAGTTTCCCCTCATGTGGCAGTTCCCGCCTATGATTCCAGTGAGTCACTCTGTGAACTGCAGATGTCCAGGGAGGTGGTGATTCCACCCGGAGCTGTGGGAAAGGGAGGACTCGCAAGTGCTCCCCGGAGGAGGCAGGAGCTGCTGCTGTGTGGATCTGCACAGATGGATGCATTTGTTGTTGGCTCGAGCCCAGGGCAGGGGAGCCACCGCCTGAGCGGATCACTGTCAGGAAGGCTGCAATTAAGGGGAAGTGGGGTCTATTAAGGAAGCCAGAGGCAAAGGCATCCTGGGTGTCTGGAGATGCTATAATGAACTTGTAGGTCCCTTTTGTCACTCATGGGGACGACCTCAGCCCAGGGCTTCTAGGAAGTGGGGGGAGCCTACCAGGTGTGCAGGATGAGAACAACGTCTTTGCACTGGGGGATGGGATAACAACAGAAGAGGTTTTACAGTGTGTGTGTTGGGGACCTTTCCTAGCTCTTGGCATGTCATGACTTACCAATCTGTACTGGCTAATTTTATGTCATTGTGACACAAGCTAGAGTCATCTGAGAGGAGGGAACCCCAACAGAGAAAATGCCTCCGTTAGATAGGGTGGTAGGCAAGCCTGTAGAGCATTTTCTTAATTAGTGATTGATGGGGGAGGACTCAGCCCATTGTGGGTGGGGGCCACTCCTGAGCTGGTGGTCCTGGGTTCTATAAGAAAGCAGGCTGAACAAGCCATGATGAGCAAGCCAGTAAGCAGCACCCTCCATGGCCTGTCCATCACCCCCTGCCTCCAGATTCCTACCCCGTGACTTCCTTTAATGAACGACATGGAAATATAAGCCAAGTAGACCCTTTCCTCCAAGTTGACTTTGGTCATGGAATTTCATTGCAGCAATAGAAACCATTAAGATGGCATCCCATCCACCTGTGCCTGTCCTGTTATTGCCTGGAAGGACACTGAGACACCAGGAAACCAAACAGTACCAAGTCATAGACTCTGTATGTGATAGAGCTGAGACTCAGCTCTGGTTGTCTATGCTGGTGACTAGGCAGGAGTGGCCATAAAATCCATCATGATGACTCAGCTCTACCATAGCAATCTGTGTAGATGATGCGTGGTCTCAGCTGGCATGGTGATGTTTGCATAAAACTTTATGTGAACACATAGTGTCTGGATTTGGCCCTTAGACTGCCATTGTTTTTACTTAAAATAATGTCGTATTTATTTAGTAATTTTACATGTATTGCAGGGTGGGCAGTGCCATGTTGCAAATGCCACAGGATGTGTGTGTGTGAAGGTCAGAAGGCATGTTGTGGGGCTTCATTCCTGCCTTCTATCATGTGGGTCTCAGGAATCGAACTCAGGTTGTCAGGGTTCTCGGCAAACACCTTTACCTAATGAGCTGTCTCGCCGGCCCCTCGGTAGTATCCTGGAGAGCTTGGAAAAACCTGTGGATCTGTTGTGGCACCTGCCTGAGAATAAATTATGAACCGAAAATTGAAGTAAGTGTGGACTCTTGAGGTCTTCCCCTTGCCTGGAGCCCACACTTCCCGTTTCTGGGCCTGGTTTCGGTTTGGTCTTTTCCCAACCATTGAGGTGCTGGGGGCGAGGGAGATGGCTCTACTCCCCAGCTTTGGGCTCAGCAGCAGCTCTCACTGGTTTCTGCACAAGACTTTCATTTGAGCCGGGCGGTGGTGGTGCACACCTTTAATCCCAGCACTCGGGAGGCAGAGGCAGGCGATCTTGGAGATCGAGGCCAGCCTGGGCTACAGAGTGAGTTCCATGGGCAGCCAGGGCCACACAGAGAAACCCTGTCTCAAAGAAACAAAACAGAAGACTTTCATTTGAAGGAGGAGTTGGTTGGCCAAGAGAGCCACAGCACTTGCCGTGGCTTTGGTGCCAACTGGAGGGGATGGGGTGTGGCTCAGTGGTAAAGCATCTATTAAGCAAGTATGAGGTCTCAGGTTTGATATCCAGCACCCCCAAACGCACCACCATAAACAGAATGACAATCAACTAAATACCACCACCCCACAAAGAACCCCAGGACAAAAGGCATCTGATACTTGTGAGCCACCATGGGGCCAGGACCTTGGGCTGTGCCTCCCACATGGGCTTTTAAGTTTTTGTCTCCTGTTCGCTGACACGTTCTGAGGCCTCTCTACTTCTTCATGGTGTCCATGGTCACCTCCACCTTCGACTACTGAAAACCCAGCCCATGGGTCCCTGGAGGCCTGCCCACTAACCAATCTCCCCCACTTCCTTCCCGGATCATGGGCAGCGCCGTGACCTTCCAGAGTCACATGGCTGCAGAGCCTGTTGGTCCCTAACTCTCATCGGTCCAGCCTCTGCCACCTCCTCCTGGGCTCCCTTCTGCAGCCACTGCAGGTTAGTGACTACTAGATGGAGCCTACTCTGCTCCCTCGAGTCTGGGTCTTAGGGCTCTGTCTGGATGGCGGCCCTGAAGCCTGCCTGATCCCAATCCGTGATGGAGCTGGCGCCAACCCTCTGTGCAGTATTGGTACCTTGGGGAGTGTCACCCATCTCTAGGAGGGTCTGAGAGAGAAACCGGGGACCTCTCCTCTCCACTTCAAACACTAAGTCCCAAGGGCCTGCCAGGCCAGGAGGACACTGCCCTGTTGGGATAGTCAGGATGGGGCCGACGCCAAACAACCTGCTTCGACAGGAGCGAGGAGTGTGTGCACGGGGCTCTGTACTCGGAGGCTGGAGTGGGTGGGTGGGAGGGGGTCACAACAGCCCAGGAGTACAGGACTAGCCTGGACAATAAAGAGGTACACAGTGTCATAAGCTCTGATGGGGCTGATGTGTCCCGAAGGAGGTGGGAAATGTGGGGGGCAGTTAAAGGTGCTCATGTCAATGGGAGCCCCAGCAGCAGGGGTGAATATATTACTAGGAAGCAAGCATCCCGCTAAGCTTTAAAAGGCGTTTCTGCAGGGGTGGTGGTGGTGGGGGATGCCTAGCTACTCCTGGTGAGGCAGAGAGAGGGGGAACAGGCAGACAGAACCCTGGAGGCTTCATTCCCAGGACCCGAGCACGGGTTCCATTTCCTCCAGGCCTTACCAAAGGGTTAAAGTCATTTTCATTAAAATTTAAATTCCAGCAGGCGCTCTCTCCCACCCCCTTCCCCGTCCTTTGAACGTTTTGACTGGCAACCATTTCATATTTCAATCTCGGCAGAACAAATTGAATTAGATGTTGAGCCCGAGCTCGGCTCTGTTGGGCAAAGCCTGAGTGCGCAGCCCCAGCTGATCCTGCCCCAGCTATCCTGAGCAGCAGTGGTGGCCATAGACTGTGGGGAGGGTGGATCCCCTGCATCAGGACGGGGGGGGGGGGAGGTGAGGGGACATGTGGGGGGAGGGCTGTCTGGCACCCGATAGGAGCATCTCTTAAAATACTTATTTTTATTGATGTGTCTCTTTTTGTGTGCCACGCGAGTACAAGGGCCGGTGGAAGCCAGAAGAGGGCACCGGATCCTCCGCAGCTGGAGCTGTAGACAGTTATGAGTGTGGCTCATTTCAGGAGGCTGCTGGGAATCGAACTTGAGTCCCCTGGAAGAGCTGCACACTCTTTTAATTGCTGAATCATCTCTCCAGCACCGTGTGTGTGTGCACCTCAAGGCCTGGGACAGCCTCTGGAGTCCATCCAGCAAGGAATGCCATGTCTCAAGAAAGACACGGAGGCACCTGGGTTTGTCCTCAGGTCCGGGATGGGTTTGATGACTGACGCATGAATGAGGGTCAGGTACTGTTGACTCTTCTCTCCAGCTTCTGGCATGTCCCCATCCGCTATAGGATGGCTGGTTTGATGTCTGTCCCTTACTGGAGTGTGACAACATGCTGGCGCCCTTCCAGAGTCAGGGTGCTGGTGTCGGAACCTGTGCTCAGGGCAGTGGCACGCTCCATCTCAGAACTCCACGCTGGCTCAGATTCCACTCCGCTTCCTGGATCTCCCTTCCCTGCAGGCCCAGGAATCCCAGCTGGGCTCCTGGAAGGACTCTAAGGCCTAGGGACAGACAGCAACATGAGGGTATTCATGTCCCAACCACCAGAGCCTGCCTCTGCGTGAGGAACCACAGTGTGGGGGATGAGTCTAGTCTCCTGCCCCTGGGCTGCTGGCCAGAAACCATCTCCTCCAGGCCCTTGCTGGACCCCCAGACTCCAGTCTGGTGAGGCTCAGTGAGGTCCCAGACTTGTTCCACTCACCTCTTCTGGGATCTCCAGCTGTGCTGGGCACTGGCCTCCCACAAGCTCGTGTGTGTGTGTGTGTGTGTGTGTGTGTGTGTGTGTGTGTGTGTGTGGCGGTGGGGGGGATGTAGGGAGGTCAGAGGTTCACTGTGTCTTCCTTAATCCTGTCCACCATTTTTTTTTTTTGACTTGTGTGTGTGTGTGTGTGTGTGTGTGTGTGTGGTGGTGGGGGGGATGTAGGGAGGTCAGAGGTTCACTGTGTCTTCCTTAATCCTGCCCACCATTTTTTTTTTTTTTTTTGACTCGGGTCTCTTACTCAACCTGGAGTTCACTGATTGGCTAGGCTGGCTGTCCATCAAGCCCTACTGACCCGCCTGTCTCTACCCCATAAAATCAGGGATGACAGGTGTACACCACCTTGTCTGGCTTCTGCATGGGTGCTGGGCACCTGAACTCAGGAGGCTGGAGGACTCAAAAGTTGCCTGCTGAGCTCCAGGACTCAGAGGGTCACTGTCACAGAGGCCAGGCTGGCCAAGCATAGGTGCCCAGGTCCCTGTGGACCCTGTTTTGGGAAGTTTATGTTGGTGACAGAGACTGCAGCTTTCTGCCTAGGCTATCTGTGACATGTGGGCACACCTTCAATGGTGGGGCAGGGAAAATTCCCATCTTGTCTTTTTTTTTTTTTTTTTGGTTTTTCGAGACAGGGTTTCTCTGTGTAGCTTTGCGCCTTTCCTGGAACTCGCTTTGGAGACCAGGCTGGCCTCGAACTCACAGAGATCCGCCTGGCTCTGCCTCCCGAGTGCTGGGATTAAAGGCGTGCGCCACCACCGCCCGGCTCCCATCCTGTCTTTTAATGACCCATAGCGACATGGGCCATGGTTCCTGACGGTCCAGCCTTGGCGTGGCAAGCATCAATGTGACCCCTCTGTGCAGCGCCAGTGGTGGAGGCTGGTGCAGGGTGACATCTGAGATGTGTGGTAGAGGGAGCTGAGCCACTCTAGGCTCTGACTTTTATTGCTTAATTCTCAGTGCCCTCGGACTGTAACAAAGTGCCTGTCCCACCCACAGGGTGAGGTCCCAGCTTTGGTACAGACCACTCTGGAAAGAAGGACCTCATTCCCCGCAAAACCGCACAGGCCGAGATTCTCACACAAAGTCGGAAGGCCTGGCGCCCTTGCTCAGAGTCCAGTCCAGCACCCACAGCCCGTGGTAAGGACAGCTCAGAAGTGGGATGAGAGTCTTCTCAGGTCTTCCTGGGTTGGATGGCTGAACACGGTGTGGCTGGCCGAGGCCACCATGCCAGTCACCTGCACTGAACTCACAATGATGTGGGTCTTAAGCTGCACGCTCGGATGTGGCGGTGCTGGGGCTGGACAGCGGTTAAAGGGCCGTGGCTCCGGCTCCCTGATTGATGCCATGTCCTCATCTGGCTGTTGGCTCATCGACATTCACGGAGAGGCTGTACTAGGGTACCCAGCCAAAGATGAGCTTGCGATGCCTCTGGCTCGGGGTGAGGCCCTGATAGCTCTCCCAGGGCCTCCGCCTTGAGATGCTGTGGTGATGGCACACAGCTCAGCCTGCAAGCCTGGCATCGGGGCTTGGAATGTGATGCTTCAGGAGGTCTGGGAAGGGCCCAGGGTGATGAGCTGGAGTCCCTAGCTCCATCCTTTGGCCAGCAGTCCTGCAGAGGGCAAGATGGCTGCAGGAGCATGGCTGGTTGGGGCCTGGGCGGCTGGCGAACAGGGCTGAGCTGCGAGTCCCCTCCCAGGTATCATCAGCTTGCTCCTTCCATGGACTCTACGCTGGCTGTGTGTGCACCGTCATCCATCCCAGAGTCTCTGCTCCTCGGGGACAAGGAGCCAGGTGTGTGTTGGGAGAGCACCAGATCAGAGGAGGACGCCAGGTCTGTGTCCCCATAAGGAGCCACCTCACGTGGGTTACCCAGTGCAGGTGCCCGGGCAGCAGCTGCTGAACACGTTACCGGTGAGGAGTTTGCAGAACCCATGTTCTCGCATCCAGGTACAGGCTTTTGTCTCCCTTGACCCTGAGCCGTGGGAGACCTCCGGCCGAGCCCTGCCTGGCCCCAGGGGCCCGGAGCCACACACCCTGGCGGTGCTAGCTCACAGCTGGAGAGCGTGCTCACTGTCCCCATCGTCGTCCCCATCTTCCAGCTGCTCCAGGATCCCATCCAACACCGCAGACCGCTTTTTCTTCGGGGGCTCTGTGGCAGATGGCAGAGAGGAGAAAAGACCCAGAGAGGGTTAAACAGTGAGGCGGGAGGCAGAGGTGTGCGGGGTGGGCATGAGGAGCGTGCGAATGGGGGATGGGAGAAGGACGCGCGAGACCAAACAGGACCCTGGTTAGTCCAGCCTCAGCCAGGCGCCTCTCTCCAGCCCCGCACTGCTGCTGGCCACCCCTGCGCCCTCTCCCATCCTCGCCACGGAGCAAGGGACCCACTTTAGGAGCCAGTGGCCACCTGAGAGCTGCCTCCTTCCCACCGGCCAGAGGCCTGGCCAACCCAGGCAACAGCTGGGCAGACAAGCAGCAGGAGCCAGCTGCTTCTGCGGCAGCCATGGACCCCCAGGGTGTGGTTGCGTGGTTGTCAGCAGCTCAATGTTAGGTGCGCAGCTGCAGTGCCCAAGGAATCTAGAGAGGCCTGGGGGCCATAACAATGAGGGTGGCTTTGCAGGGGAGGGGTTATTTGATTTGGGCTTTGATGAGTGCAGAGGAGTTTTCTGAGGAAGGGGCAAAGGCGGATTTAGACATACAGCTGTTCCAAATGCCACTGATCGAGTACCTACTGTATGCTATGGCACTAGTATCCTCACCAACCCCACAGACAAGGAAAGAGGGAGGCTGGCTCTGAGCTGTTTGCCCCACCAGTCGCTCTGCTAGTCTAAGTGTCCATTCACTAGCGAAGGCCTAATTTATAAAGAGGCTGCCCACCCAAATCCCTGCCTTCAGGAGACTCCAACTCCTTGTGTGAAGCCCCCACCCTGGGCACACTCACCCAACCTTACACTTCTACGAGGCAGCAGGTGTGAGCACTGGGCCTGGCTCAGGCATGGATGACCTTGGCTCCCTCCTGGGCGAGGGGGTGGGTCCTGGAATCCCTTCCCCCATCCATTCCTCCCACGCTATGGGGATATGGACCCTGCCCACCTCCTCCACGGCGGTCCTCTGACCAGTCACCCTCAACCCACCCTATCAACTTGACCTTTCCCTAGGGGCTCCTGTACACATGAGCTGCTGCCGCCCCCCCCCCCCCCCAGGAGGCCTGAGCCCAGCGGCCTCCCTCTGCAGATGCCATACTGCGTTCGGAATCGGCCTCAGGCCTGCAGAGCCCACGTCCTGGTCTCCCTGGCCGCAGCCTGGGCCTCCCCTCTCCCACCATGCAACAGGCCCTTCTGTGTGGGACACTGTCCCTGGCAGGGCCTCCCATGGGGCATCCAAGTGGGAGGTGCGTGAACAGAGCCCAGGGCTGGGGTGGAGGCTGTGCTGTGGGGAGAGGACACTGGCTGGGAGCCAGGGTCTGGCAGCCATGCCCATCATGGCCAACTGTGGAAAGGGGAGGGAGCGGCCGGGCCCCCTGCGGTGTCCCCTCCTCACTCTGCGCCTCATCCCCATTGCACAATGGCCTCGGGAAATTGAATCGCGGGCAGGTAATAGGGCTGGAAATAGACAACAACAAAGCAGGTTCCCAGCCTGTGTGTCTGACACCCCTCCCGCTGCTACCCCAGAGGCAACCGGAGAGACCGCTGAACCAACGCCAGAGTCCACCTGCCACTCTGCCACACCTCTGCTGTGCCCTGTCCCTGGGGAAAGCCGAAGCTGTCCTACTGTTGGCGAATGGTCCATGGGAGCTGGTCACTTCCAGATCCCGGTACCCATTCCTCTCACCCCAGGGCCTTTGCACTGCCATGACCTGTCTAGAATGCTCTACTGAACTGCTCAGGGGCCTCTGATCTGTGGTGAAGCTTCCCTGGCTCCCCCACAGCACCCACATGACCTTCTGGCTTCACTGCTGTTTGTATCTCTTGCTGGGGCTGTCCTGGTACCTGGCAGCCCTCAGTAAATATCTGCTGAGTGACTGATGGACTGAAGATGGCCAGGGGACAGTAGGGGGCAAAAGGATCAGGCTATGGCATGAGGGGCAGAAGGAAGGATGTACGAGGCCAAGAATGTTCCCCATGAATTTTTTTCCCACTGACTTCTCTCACACGACAGAGACCTGGGCAACACTTGCTTCCGGAGCCACAATCAGAATCCAACTGACTCTGGGGGCCTCTGAACACTGCCCTGCTAACAGTCCTTGGGCAGCAAGCCTTGGGGACAGCTTTATGGCACCCACTGCCCTTAGCCTGGGCTCATGGCACCAGACAGACCGAGTCTCTAACTCGCCCAGGGCTTTGTCCTTTCTGAACAGCTCCTCTCTCAAGCACCCAGATGCAAGGAACATCTTGCCTGGGGCTATTCCCAGCCATCAAGTCTCCTACTGGGCAGTGGTTGTTCCATGCTCTGCCTCTAGGGAGCAATGGGCTGTTTGTGACATGTGACCCTCACCCGCACAGCCCCTGGAGCCCATGGGTGCTCCTTTTGCTCGCTGGCACTAATCACACTTGGGAAAGCCCTGCGTATGTGCCACTCTGCTCACACTCAGACTTCTAGGGAGGTGGAGGTGGCAGTTTAAGACCAGGTTCCTTCTGGAGGCCTCAGAGTCCCCACAACAGAGAACCAGCCTCCACGAAGGCCTGACCTCTCCCTAGGAAGTGACTGTGACCTCAGCGTCTGGTGACACTCTGCTTGGCCCAGTGTGAATGATGGACCCTCTGCCACCTGCAGAGCCAGGAAGAGGAGGCCAGGGCTTGGGGACCACCCAGCCACTCCTTCAGGGCGGGTTAGAGAAGGGGTTGTTCAGGGAGGTGCTGGGGGCCTGGGACACAGGGACCAGGCAGTGACCACAACTCCAGGGCCCCAGCCCAACAGACTCCGCCACCCAGAGCGTGTCACTGTTCTCTGCCACCTCCTGGGGCAGCCGTGAGGGCAAGGGAGTCAGAGGGTGCACCTTGCTGTGAGTCTGGCTCAAGTCCAGTCAGGGGTCGGGGTGGGAACCCCCATTCCACCCCGAAGGACGGGCACGCTGGGCCCCGCATCTTGGCTGCCGCCACCCAGCCCCCCACTGGCCTGCCTCCACATGCAGCGCCGCCGGCTCGACTGGCAGGAACAGCTGTGGAAACCCCACTTCCCCACACTGGAAGCCTCGGTGGGTCCTCACCAAACAAACACAAAGCAGAACCCGGGGAAGGTGTGAAATAAATAAACGAAACAAGCAGTGCATTTTCTTGCCACGGCGCAGCTGCGCCTGAAGATAAACAACATGTGACTGTCGCCAAACATCAACACCGAGAAACGAACTTGACAAAAAGCTCGGCCGGCCCCCAACAGCCCCCCAGTCCTGCCCCCTCCCCCCAACCTCCAAACACCACTTCTGCATTTCTCCAGTTCCCACCTAATGGTTTTATTTTTCAATTAATTCCTTGACAGAATGCCAGCCCGCATCTCTCCCTTCCCTGGCTGGCAATGTCTGCATGGAAGGCGGCGTGCGGGCGGGCGGGCGGGTGGGGGCCTGTGGGAGGACAAGAGAAAGCGCTTCATGGGAGGAGAGGCAGGCTGGGGATGAGAGCGCGGCTGACAGGGAGAAAGGATGCTGCAAGGGGCCTGTGAAGAAGAGGCAAGACGGAGACAGCCCAGGATGGGAAGCCAGCAGGCCAGGAGCAGACCCCGCCGCTGCTCTGGCTGGAGGCAGCAGGCCAGTTGCGGTCCCTGTCTGGGCTCAGTTACTGAATGAAGACAAAGCTGCTTAGGAAAACAGTTTCTAAGCTGCTGGCCATGCCTGGAACCCCAGCACCATGGAGGCTGGCACAGGAAGATGGCCTGAACCTGGTGGTGTGAGGTCAGCCTGCACAGCGGAGAGATCCCATTTCAAAGTGCAGAAAGTGACTAGCCACAAGGCATTCAAGACTTTGGCTAGCACAAGGATGAACACTCAGTTGCCTGAAGGCATGGTCCAGGATGGACAAGAAGTGATAAATACACTATCAAGTGTTTATGGCACCTTGCCCCTGGCAATCACGGGGTCCGGGCTGCCATGGGAAAGCTGGAAGACAGGCGGGGATAGGGCTCTAGGCACCTGTGGGCTTGCTGCAGCAGGGCCGAGTGTGGGTCTTTCCTCTAGGAACCCCACAAGCTGAGTATATGCTCCCTGGGCTCTGGGTGAAGTCCTCTGGGGCCTTTATCTCATACCACAGCCAAGCCCAAGGTCCCATGGACACTTGCCCTGCAGTGGATCCACCCTCTGAGGGTCTCCACATGGAAACAGAGCCAGCCACAGGGCAGCACTCATGCAGACACTGACCCAAAGCCGAAAAGACCCACCTCAAGGAGCAGGAATGTGGACCCTACTCTAGTGGGCTGTATTCAAATGGCCCCTGTGGGCCCTGAAGCTTACTTATCACAGACACATCCCCACTGTCAGTAGCCCAGAGGGAGGGAGGGACCTAGGTGGTGGGAGGTTGTGGACCTCTCTCCAAGGGGCCCATCCTGGGCATCTTCCTGGACGTAGGTCCAGATAACTGGACTGGCCCTGTGCAAGGAGAGCCCCGACCTGGACCACGGTGGACTTATCCCAAGATAAGGAAGGGGTACAGGCTGGCCTGGGGTCCTCTGTGCTTGGTCTATATGGGTGTGGGAACCCTGTACAGTCTGGGGAGAGCAGCAAGTGTCGAGGCAGGGAGACCTGCTGCAGAGAGAGCCAGCACAGGATGAGGGAGGCTGGCGGGAGGCTCCTGCAGCCCTGCTTGGCCTGGAAGCCTTGGTCTCCATTATCTTCCTCTCTTCTTCCTGGGTCCAAGCAGAGGTGACATGGAGGGATATGCCAGTGTAAGGGCCAGGTGGAGTCATCATGGAATCAGTCACACTGGATGACTGAATCTACAGGGAGTGCACACATCACATAAATGCACAGTGGCTCCGCAGGCCTCGCCGTGGGACGTGGGACCAGGGTGGCAAGGCCTGATTTCCTAAGAGTGGCTGGCTTGAAACTGATTTCCAGGTCAGATCTTCCGGTGGCCGAACAATGACGAATCCAATACTGTTTTGTGTTCACGTGTCACAGGCAAGGCGCCCATGGCTCAGTCAGTGGCCTCTGGTCTCCGTGCTCCC